AAACAGACACCGGCATTGTAGGCTACTCTCCCAGGAAACAGTCCTCGTTCTCCATAAAATGTGCTGCACACATCTGAATATTTGGGTTGAACTGTTTGCTTTCATAACGAAACACACAGCTTCTCCATATGGCGGCGGCAACAATACTACAGCGAGAATAAAAGTTACGCCTTCTTTCTTTGCGTGAACATTTGGGCGGCGTTATGCAAATCTTCCCACACAGTGACGTAGACATGTGGGAGCGTGTTAGAACGAGCCGTTTTAGGTAGGCGTGGCTGACTCTTAACTTTTATAAAGAATATCTCTTTGGATTTGAGACTTTAGTCTTTGCAACTTTACAGATCTTCTTTGTGCACCAAGAGCTTGTAACACAAAGAGAAAGGAAAACTTGAAATCGCATCATATGACCCCTTTAAGTGGAAGATGATATTATAAGATATCAGCGTTTAGTGTGGGTATGATAAAAATATACTTTAGTGTCTGCTTTTGGTCGATAAACAGATGTTACCATTGATTGAAACAATATTGCTATTTTAGACTGATTGTTGCCTGTTGCTCTTAGTTTTAGTATTGTTTTTAAATATAGTGGTGTCTGCACATTAAAAATCAGCGGGACATATAAATCACGACCAAATTTTAACATATTTCCAAGTGGAACTGCTTATCATGCTAAGAAAAAAAATGTACGAGGGGGGCCTTATATCAGTTTGATTTTAGGTAGGAAAGAAAGTACTTTAACTTTGTGCATTTCACCATTAAAATTAATTTTTTTGTTTTTGCATGTTCACCGCAATGCTTTGCATTCTTGTGTAATTCCGTCATGGTCTTTGCTTTAAGTGACATTAAATCCGGGTTCCCCTTGATGTGTGAATTGGTCTGCTGAGCATGCTTTACGTCTACAGCATTGTAATGTCTATCATAATGTCGTCTATTGTCATGTGGGAGTGCTCTTTATGTTTTTCAGAGCAGGTGGTGGGCTTTGAAGGACCAGTTAAGAGTGGCTCTGAGTATTTTAATGGTCCCGTTTTCTTTGCCTCCGTTTAAGACCTTATTCTAATTAGTGTCTCTCTTTTCTCTAATTTACAACAGTTCTTTCTGAATTGTTTTTAAGGGTCTGGCTTTAATTATAAGGGGTGTTGGTATGGGGAATTGCGAAAGCTCACCGCAAGGCCTGTTGGGTTGCAGACAAGTTGAGCAACATAAGCAATTAGGAAATTCCTGTGTCCTATTCAGCTGGTCTCTGACAGTGGCTATTTCTTTTGGAGGAGGAAAATAGTCGAATTCTTCTGAAAAAAAACTTGCGTTAAGGAATTGAACTATTTCTGACCTTCTGAACTTCTTGTGTTTTTCTTCATGCATCTGAGATGACGACTGCGAGCGCTATAAAGCTGAGTGATTGGAAACAATTAACATGCCCTGTAAACTCTGGGTTCAGAGGGATTATATGGCACTGGGAAATGTTTGCAGATGGGATATGAATATTTCAGAGATAATGTGAAACAACTGACTTTGTAAATTCCCACTGAGACCTTCTTGGACGTACTTCTAGGTAAACGATCTTGTGGCACTGATCAGGGCAACAGGTTTTGGTTGTGTTGTGGTTCTCACACTGCGCTCGGAAACTGCACGCAGACATGATGCTGGCTTTGAGGTTTAGTTTTATTTATTTGACAGGACCTGCTGCTTATGTTACAGGCTGTGGCGCAGACATCACTGTGATTCCTTTTCGAGTAGAGCGTTCACCCTACAGAAACGCCGAAAGAAAACTTGTTCTCAGCCAAAACTCGAGAATATGCAAGACTGTTTACTGTACATGGCCAAATGTCTGGACAAACTTGTGATTCAGTCATTCCAGCCGCACCCAAAATTGAAGTACACAGCCATAGACAAACAATGAGAGTAAAATGGACCATATTGAGAAGCTTTAGGATGTGATGTGGTGCCATCACAGGATACCACCTCTTTAAAATAGTCACATTTCAGTTTTGTCCTCATGCTCTCGACTATGGAAAGGAAACGCAAAGATATTTCAGACTTTTTGAAAGAGTTTAGGCAAGGCACTTTCCTGTTTTAATACATCTATACGCACATGCACAAAAAATAGCCAATGCAGAAATGAGATGGGAGTTGTATAACTTGATTGACCTGCACAGAGCATTGAAATCATCCTGAATGAACACCTTTGGGATTAAGCTGGAAGACCCTAATGCATGTTCTGCAAGATTCCCCTTTCTGTCAAACATATTTTATTGGACTGTCCAGCTTTTAATGCATGTAGAAAACTATTTTATGAATTGAACTCACTTAAAGATTTATTTAGTATAATTTTGGCAGAAAAAGTTTTAGAATTTTTATCATGTTAATGCAAAAAATCTTGTGTAATATAACTTGTTTGTTTGTTTCCTGGTTTTTATTGTATTTGTTATACTTGTATTTTTTTATTGTTTTTGCCATGAAAATAGCCTTAGATGCTGACATGGCATTAAATAAATGTATACTACTACTTGGGATGAAGCTGAATGTCAGCTAGTCTGACTGTCTGTCTGATATCAATGCCTGACATTAATGTTCTTGGGCTGAATGGATCCAAATCCCATTGCAACATCAAATAGGGACTAGGCATGCAAAAATGCATTCCTTTTCATCGATCTGATAATTAAGATTTCTTTTTTTTTCAAATGCATTTTGTGGAGAATAAACTTAGAAGTGTTCTCTAATGCATGTCTTGATGATTATTTGTTCATCATGAGCTCCATTCCATTAATGTGTAGTTATTCTTTAAGCCTCCTTGATTTAAAAGATGGCCATTTTTGGTTCAATAAATTCCACATGGTATTCAAATCTGTTATGCATATTTAATAGACAGTCTACCAAACATCTGTTTGTTTGTGTTACTTTGCAGACTTTCATATTACCCACTTTCTATTGGATCAATAATAAATTAAGACCTCATTGCAAAAACCTCTAGGTACATCTGAGATTTTTCTTCTACTGTTTATCGGGCTCCTATGAAAATAACATTGGACATTTTTAAAAAGGCATTCAATAACTCCCTTATAACCCTTTTTTGCTGTTAAAGTAAAATTACTGAACCTAAATATAGGAGCCTGAAATTTTTTTTTTTTTTTCAAATGTAAATTCCAGTGCAAAAATTCAGTTCTTGAGACTTCTCAAGAAACTCTCCAGTTGCAGTCCTCAGCATATTTTTGGAAATAATTATGAATAATTTCTAAATCATTTCTGACTGAATTGTGACCCAGTTTCATATGTGCCCAACTCAATATAAACACTTGTTATTTTGAAATAAGATACTTGATGAACAAGTATACATTTCACAAAGTTGTGTTGGCGTAGTGGTTAAAGAGTAACCCTAAAGGTTCTACATTCAAACCACATAAGGAGTGAACCGTAAACTGGACAGTTGCTGAGTTACCCAGTAACCATTGCACTCCTGAGGAGAGGATGACCCTGTAGTAAAAATGTACCATCCTTTGCTTTGGATTAGATGTGTCTCATAAATGTCTCATTCTTTACGTTATAGGACTGGACTCAAATTGTCTAAAAAAAAAACATAGCTTCTTGTCATGTGATCCCTACAATAGTCCAGATTTTCTGTTCAAATGAATGAGGCAGTGCCCTTGTTGTGTGTTTGAAGAAAAGGCTTACGAGTCACACCCCTGGCCAAGTCAATAGATCTAGAGTTACGAGCCCAGTGGTTTTGCAATCCTTCATTTAGAAGAACTTTTCGTAATTTATTCTTTCTTTCTTCTCAAGGAAATAAATGTCTGGTATTGCAAACACTATAGATTCTGGTGTTCATCTTGCATACTGCAGAATAACCTACCAAGTCTCCCAAGTATGGATCTCCTCATGCTCTGCTATCTCCTCTCCTCCATTTGCACCCCATCCAGAGGTCTAATCTGTCCTGTGGTTAATGTTTAGATGTAGACCAAAGGGTTCACATCTGCTGTTAGCGATGTGCAATACAATGGCCCAACGGTTCATCAGCAGAGCAAGACCGCTTCCCTCCTAGGTTAATCGCATGCTAACCTCTACTACAAAAGGCTCATGTTGCCGTTGATGCCTTGTTGTTCCTCCTCCTCTTGTCATGCTAATGCATATTTACACATGCAAAAAATGGACCCATTGTGCCAAGATATCTGCGGCACAGGAGGAAGTGATGTGTGTGTGTGTATCTGTGAAAGTGTGTCCGAATCCATCTCTGGTTTGAGTAATAAGTGTGAAGTGCTCCTCCCATGCTGGATTGAGGAAAGGCATGTGGGAACGAAGAGCAGTCGTATCAGAGGAATTGGGGGGAAGGGTCGTCCCTGTTTATACGTCATGCTTGAATAGATAGTGTGGCGTATAGGTGGACCTTTGTTAATTTTAAATGCAAGCAATATCCCGCGCTAGGGTGACACTTCAAGCACATATCCGTTCCCGTGGATTTTCAGTGACCCGTCCAAAGTCGTTACAGACCCGGCCAACATTTGTAAACGTTTCTGCAGATTCTATCACTGTTGTTTTTATCAGTTTGAGGCAGCAGACCGAATAGCATGCGCGTCTCTGCATCGTCTCTCGCTCCGATGTCAAAGCTGGCAAAATGAAAACATGCTTTTATTTAGACAATTCCCTCTTTTGAAGCTGCACATCTGGTGGCTATTGTAATGACAGTTAACATAACATTTAGGATGAGTAATAATTATTCATGACATTTGTTTACAAGCAAAAGCAATTCGTGTTTGTGGTCTTTCTGTGCCTCTCGGTAAACATTCTTCTTTTGAAGGGAATTAAAAGGCCGTCTGGCAATAAAAACAGGTTTGCGGTTCCTGAATTTCAAAAGAAAACTGCAGAGCTTCACAGACTAATCATTCCACATTTGCAAAGGCTATTCTCCTGAGTGGAATGTCATCATATCAAATGACAGCGCTTACGGACTTTTTGCGGCCTCATTTTATTCGGTCACTTCATAAGCAAACGTTTGATCCTCTCTTTCGCAGGTGATGCCTTCCCAGGTGCCTCTAGCCCATTCCTCGGCGGATACGTCAGCGCCTCCAGTGCTCACGGGTCGTCGGATCCGGCCTTCCGAGCCCCAAACTCAGCCAGCCTGCAAATGGCCCAGCTCTGGGCCTCTCACCCTCATGAAGGTAAGAATCGCAGCCTTTCTATTGGCGCTTTTCCACTGCATGGTACGGTTCACTTTTGGGGGGTTTTCCACTGGGTACGGTACCTGGTACTTTTTTTAGTACCACCTCGGTTGAGGTTCCAAGTGAACCGTACCGGTACCAAAACGTGACGTTAAACTCCTCTGATGACTGATTGGCCGGAGAGAATCGTCACTACCTGCGTCACTGAACTTGCGACACAAACACAACAGAACCGCTTGATTTAAATCAGCACAGCCAGCGAAGGATCGAACACAACTGTTTTGAACGAGCGCACCTTTTTTTAACAACCAAAAAGGGACTGTTTCATTGTCTTTTGAGGAAGTACAGACACTCCTCTCGTTGATAGCAGAGGAGCGGATCCAGCGAGAGCTTGATGGGGCGACGCGGAGTGAAAAACTTTTTCAGGAGTCACGGCAGTAGAGGACTATAACGACATGTGAATAATCCCACCCACTGTAAAGCGATACTAAACTGCAGTGGAAACGCAAACCGAGCCGAGCCGTGCCGTGCCGAGTTGTACCGCGCAGTGGAAAAGCACCATATGTGTCCTGCGAGAAATGGGGAGAAACATCGCAGCATGTCCATGCTTAAAACAAAGTGAGACCTGCATTTGTACAAGGCAGCCTGAACGTATTGGGTTTAACGATTAGGTTTGTTGGCAGATCAGTGAACTCAGACAAAGGCTGTAGTCAGAGGTCTGGGTGACAGGCAGGACCGGGTGGACGGGCTAATGGAAAAAAACACACCGTCCACTATATGACCCACAGGGACTTTTAGGTGGCTTTATATTTGAAGTTTATGGAAATCGACTTGGTATTGGAAGTACGAGCATGTGCTGCGGACTGTGCTTGAGCAGATAAAGGTGCAGTATTGTTTTTGATAAGCGAGTGTGTGTGGCTGGTTAAGGCTGTCGGCCAGTGATGTGTAATATGCAGTCATGTCTGATGTCTACGATGGATTACCCTCTCTCTCTCTCTCTTTTGAAGTCAATAAACTAGATTTGTGTGAATGGTGTGCAACGACTGTAGAAAAGACAATAAAAAATCAATTTCGTTCCTGCAATCCTAATGTAGAATAGGCCACATCTGACAGCCGCTCTGCTGCAACGTAATTGTAACCAATTCCGTTCTTGAAATAGCTTGTGTCGGTCAATAGTCAATATTTAAGAGATTTGACAGAGCTTAAGATATATATATATATATATATATATATTAGTGCTGCAGTTCTTTGTATAACAGTGCTATGTATATTATATTGTATTGCTGTCTTTAGATACAGAGCCTTGGCTTGAAGTAGCTTATAAGGGCTAAATTTTTGTCTGTGCTAGTTAGTACCATAGTTCAAATCACACAAGATTTTGATCAAAATACAGTAAAAATTTTATAATATTACCATTTAAAATAACACTTTTTTTATTATTTGAATATATTTTAACATGTAATTTATTTCTGTGATACAAATCTGAATTTTCAGCATCATTACTCCGGTCTTCAGTGTCACATGATTCTTCAGAAATCATTCTGATATGCTGATTTGCTGCTCATAAACATTTCTTATCAGTGTTAATAAGAACTAGAGAGACATTAGAGAAACTGATTAGGCTAATATTTTTGTGGAAACAGTGATACATTTTCTTCAGGGTTCTTTGATGAATAGAAAGTTCAAAAGAACAGCATTTATTTGAAATAGAAATATTTTGTAACTTTATAAACTTATTTACTGTCACTTTTGATCAATTTGTGTCCTTGATGATAAAAGTATTAATTTACTTTTTTTAAAAATGGTACTGTGTAGCCTTGTGGTTAGTGCGTTGACATATAGCACAACTGCGCTCACGTCGACCCGAGTTCGAATCCTGCCTCGAGGTCCTTTGCTGATCCTGCTCCCTTCTCTCCTCCCAGTGCTTTCCTGTCAGCTTTCCACTGTCCTCTCACAATAAAGACATAAAAGCCCATAAATATAACTTGGGAAAAAAAAAACTTACTGATTCTAAACTTTTGAACAGTAGTGTACCCTTTTTAAACCATTAAATTTAAGTGTATAAATGGCAATAAAATCTGGATCTGGAATTATACAAGTATAATGTAACACTGTGGCAGCAATGGCGTATAATGATTAATGATTTCTTTCTTTAATCCATTTTAACCAATGCTTCCAAAGCTATCACAAATCATTCTTGCAATTTTTTTTTTAAAAACTCCTCTATATCTGTAGTTTCCACTCAGGTAAAAAAAATCTGAATGTCATAAAAACATAAATAATAAAGCACCATAGTTTATGTGCATGCCATCTTACAGAGTGAATAAATAAATTAACTGTTATTTATTCATTCATTCACAAGCAAAGCTTTATGCACATTACAGAATTGATTTATCTTGGTGTTTCCATCCAGCATTTCCTTAAACTCACATAAAATATGCAGATAAAACCTGGCTTATATTAGCTAGATAACATTACCTTACAGATAACGTTATGGGCAGATATTTCAGTTTGCGCAATACATGTATACAATCAACCAATGTAAGCTTTAGTATCAGTGCAGTGTTACATCAGCTGGCCCAAAACTCAGCGGTCCACCAAACCACTCTCCTTGTTGAGCCCTGAGTTTTGAGATCTTTATTTTGCCTTGCAGTTGCTTTACACATTTCCTTCATATTCTCTCCTCACCTCATCCAGTGTGTAAAGTCAAGCCCTTATCTGTGCTCTAACTTCAAACTTGCACGCTCAAGCAAGATGATTCATTCGACACTGAAGCCGTTCCAGCCCCTGCCATTTTGAGAAGACAGAGACTTCAGCTCTCAAAATGGTTCACATGTATACCAAACAATCGAAAGAAAAGCAATGCTAGCTCTGTAAAAGGGCGTGGGTGGATTATTAACAAGGTTTGTTGAAGGGCCTTGTACCCATAGGCCTTTGTTTCAAGTCCCCACAGAGAGAGTACAGATGAATTGTCTAAAACCTTGGCACAGATCATAGCAAGCCTGCCTTGCTCTGCCTGCGTAGAAATGCGATGAATAGCTGACATTTAAGTGTACTATGTCTCCGCAGCCTGTGAAAATATTTGAACATGCCTGTTTATTCTGAAGGGTGCACCTGGCTCTTATTAACTGAAGGAAGTCGAAGTAGCAGCTGTGGAATTTGGCTATTTTTACACGAAACGTGCGAAACAATAAGGTACGCCGCGCACTCCCTCCGCTGCGGATTGCAAATACTCCATAATCAGAGGGGAAAAAACGCTGCTGTGCTGTCTGATTTATCTTTTAAGTTCAATTAATAAACATGAATCGCAGAGAACTGTGAAATTTTTGCAGATTGTTTCGTATATGTAGCGGGTATTTGCACGATAACTCCTTGCGTGTCGGTTAACTTTAAAATACACAATTTATTCGAATGAGATCTTTGCGAGGATGAGGTGTTCCACAACAGTGGAGCCTTGTGTTACGGTTTGAACCTCGTCTCTGTTTATTTTAGACAAGATTCTGAGTATCCCTGGAATGTGTCCTCCATGGTTTTAATTCGCAGGCCGATGTGGCTTCGCAGCTGCACCGCTCCTTTGTTTTGTCCGAGCATGTGTCTGTGGCCGTTATCTGCAGCGGTCTGTGGATTGTAATCAGATGAGTGGCCGTTGATGTCCGCTCACCTTTGGACTGTGCAGGAGATGATGGTGGCTGTGTGATTGATAGAGCATCCATGCCTGCTGCTCCCGTCGCATGTTGGACTCTGCTCAGAAAGGAATGCCCCTCTTTGACTATGACTACGATGATGGATTTGCTGGCGCAGGTAGCGCTTTGATGTTCTGCTGCGTTTCCTGTAGCGTCCCCGGGGTCCAGATGACGGTTTTGAATACTGATGTGTTTGTGAAATTGGAGGTGTATAATAAAGATAATGAAAAGAGAGAGTGTGGAGGCGGATGCATGTTGGCAGAAATACTGTAAGGTGCCTCTTTCTGGTGCACACGAACGGGTTTGTTGAAATTCTTCTTCTTCTGACCTTTGCAGCCCCTCTGCGCCTAACTGCAGGTCTTGAACCACCTGCTCTCCTTCAAAGCCTTTTTCTATGACTTTTATATAGAACCTCAGGGAACAGTTTTTCTCTTTTATGTCAGCAAGGGTATGTCGTAGCATCTTTTGCTTTTGAATGTTAATGGCCTCCTTTTTTGACTGTTCCTTTTTGAGCTAAATTCCCCTCTCAACACGTAGCCCATTTACACGTAACCTTCCGCTGTCCTTAGTAGTAGATCCCTAAAGAATGAGCTAGGTTAAATGGTTCTGTGCTCCAGAAAACACGCACATCTTTCCTCTTTACAGTCACACTGACTAAACCAGTTATGGTAAAACACCACTTTTTCTTTTTAAAATTATTATTATTAGTAGTGTTAGTATCAACCCTTTACATTGCGAGTAAATCACTTGCATATGCGACTAAATCTTCACTCTGGGCGACTAAATTATGTCTAATATTAGCCAATGGCTAATAGTATAAGCTTAGCACAGATATATTTTCACTCTCAAAACACTCTGACTGAGCGCTTCAGAGTTTCACTCTCCGTCAAGCGATCTGTGCTATTTTTCAGTTCATCTGAATGGATGCGCAGCGTACCTGTATTTGACGCACTGTAAACTCTAGTGTGAACGCGCACGACTCGCCGTCGCTTTGCTTTTTTTCTCACACGTAAAGAAAGACAGAGCGAGAGAGTCTTGCATAACATGCAGAATTGACGCGCTACATGTAAACGTTATACTTCGTTGTATTTTCCTGTCAAAATAACAGTTCCTTTGAAATTCTTCAGCTTTTAAGAACTGCCGGATTCTCTGGCAGTGGCTGGCGCTCATTGGCTGGCGCTCACCTATTATTAATATTCATGAATCCAGCAGCTCATTAATCCTTAGTGCGTTTTATATAGGGTTGGGAATTGAAAATCGATTCCGATTCCAGAATCGGATACTTGTTGTTAAATTCCGCCTATCGATTCCTATGCA